ATATAGAGCTTTATAGGTCAAAACCAGCACTTTGAATTGTGCCCGGAATTGGACACCCAGTGGACATCCAACATCCAATGGATCTGTTGCAAGAAAGGAGGTGTGTGCTTGTTGTTACTGCTATTGTTGTGTGCCTTCAAGTCATTTGTGACTTATGGCGACCCTAAGGCAAACCAATCATGGGGTTTTCTTGACAAGATTCGTCAGACGGGGTTTGCCATTGCCATCCTCTGAGACTGGGAGAGTATGACTTGCCCAAGGTCACCTGGTGGGTTTCCACGGCCAAGGCGGGATTTGAACCCTGCTCTCCAGAGTCCTAGTCCAACGCTCAAACCACTACACTGCATTGGCTCTCTGGTGTGCTTCTTGAAGCCAACTCCAGTTAGCAATCCGGCTGCAGCTCTTTGGACCAGCTGAACTTTCCAAACTGTCTTCGAGGGCAGCCCCACATAAAATGTGTGACATTGATCCAACCAAGAGGTAACTACTGTTGGTCCTCTGTATCCACAGATTCTGCATCCACAGATTCAACTATCCGCACCTTGAAAATATATCAAAAAGAAACAAACCAGAAAGCACACCTTGATCTAACCATTTTATATACGGGACACCATTTTACTACACTGTGATATATAATGGGACATGAGCAGCCATGGATTTTGGTATCCACGGGGGTTCTGGAATCAAATCCCAGCAGATACCAAGGGCCCACTACAACAACTCCCAGAATCCTCACCTGATCCATTATCGTTTGACGTCCACACTAAAAGGGCATGAAAACCTACTGGCTGGCATACCAACAGCAGCTATTCAGTTTCCGATGCAGCAGACTCTGGTGTGACCCTGAAGTCTCCCAGGCCTCTTAGAGGGAGCACTTTCCTTGAACATGCCATGGATGGTCTCCTCCAAGTCCTTGAGTCTCAAGCAGCAGATTTATATTGTCCTCTGCTCCCACTGTGCATCTAAGGATGATTTATTGCTCAGTTGCTTCAAATTAACAAACTAATCAGGGCAGCAAAGTTGGAAGTTAATGTTGAAGTTGTTGATAGCTGAGGTGGCCACTGCTTTGCTCCAATAATATCATATCATGGTCCAGGCATAAAGACATGAAATCACAGAGTTGGGAGAGACCCCAGTGACCATCCACTCCAACACCCTACCATAAAGGAAAATACCATCAAAGCATTCCTAATATTGAGGATGGAGCAAGCTTCTTTTCTGCTGCTCCAGAGAATAGGACCTGGAGCAATAGATGCAAACTATAGGGAAAAAAAGATTCCACTCTTAAGCATTAGGAAGGACTTCCTGGCAGTAAGAGCTGTTTGACAGTGGAAGATGCTGCCTTGGAGAATGGTGGAGTCTCCTTCTTTGGAGGTTTTTAAACAGAGGCTGGATGGCCATCTGTCGGGGATGCTTTGTTTGAGAGTTCCTGCATGGCAGGCGGTTGGACTGTGGTCTCTTCCAACTCTATGATTCTATGAACAAATGGCCATCTAACCTCTGTTTAAAAACCTCCAAAGAAGGAGACTTCACTATTCTCCAAGGCAGCATCTTCCACTGTCTTACTGTCAGGATGTTCTTCCTAATGTTGAAGTGGATTCTCTTTTCCTGTAACTTGAATCCATTGTTCCTGGTCCTAGTCTCTGGAGCAGCAGAAAACAAGCTAGCACCCTCCTCAATATGACATCCCTTCAAATATTTAAACAGGGCTATCATATCACCTCTTAACCTTCTCTTCTTCAGGCTAAACATTCCCAGCTCCCTAAGCCATTCCTCATAGGGCTTGGTTTCCAGACTTTTTGGGTCATCCTCCTTTGGACACGTTCCAGCTTGTCCGTGAATTGTGGTGCCCAGAACTGGATACAGTATTCCAGGTGAGGCCTGACCAAAGTTGAATAGAGTGGCACTGTTACTTCCCTCGGTCTAGACACTATATTCCTATTGATGCAACCTAGGATCATATTGGCTTTCTTAGCTGCTGCATCACACTGCTGCCTCATATTCAGCCTGTGGCCCACTCTTATTTCTAGGTGTATATTTCAGAGACAGTATAAAAGTAGTACTGCAAGAACAGCACTGGCTTCTGATTTGCTCCCAAGCTCGTTTCAAGGTGTTGAGAGAGCTGGAATGGAGGTGAGGATAGGGATGGTGTTGGAAATGGGAGCTCTAGAAATCACAAGCTCATCTGGTGGTAGCACCTATGGGCACAAGAGGGCGTGCGGGAGGAGGCAGACCTCAATACCTGAAGGATGGCTTCCTCCCATAGGAGCCTGCCAGAAATTGTGACAATAGTACTTGAGTGTGACCACGTGTGTGGATTTTAAGTTTCCACACCCGCAACTGAATAACAGCTAATGTCACTGGAGTAGCCACGATGCTAGCCAACATGAGAGTCTTGCTGGAAGCTTGACTACAAGGTCTCTCTCCTTCCCTCCTAGGGTGACCAGATGGAGGACATGGCACCACAAAATGTAGGCCATTCAAGAATAATGTAGACCGGGGTAGGCAACCTAAGGCCTGAGGGCCGGATGCGGCCCCTCGAGTCCTTTGGACCAGCCCCAGGCCGGCCTGCCGCCGCCGCCGCCCGCCATGATTGTTGTTATTACTTGTTCTTGGACTTTGCTTGGCAAAATCTCCACAGGGGGTTTGCCATGGCTTTTCTGGGGCTGAGAGAGTGTGCATGCATATTTTTTTATTTTTTATTTATTTATTAACTTTTTAATTTTTATTTATTTATTTGTTTGTTTGTTTGTTTGTTTTTGGTGCTTCGCCCCCCCCAATTGTCTGAGGGACAGCAACCCGGCCCCCAGCTCAAAAAGGTTGCCTACCCCTGATGTAGACCATTACAAAATAAAAGCTAGAAACACTAATGCAAATATAAATTCATGCTTCATGGTCATACTCAAAATTCCTCCTGGACAGAAGACTGAAATGCAGGACATGTCCCAGGAAAGGAGGATGTCTGGTCACCCTGTTCCCTCCATCACTCTTCTGCTGATGCTAGAGAGCCTTGGAAATCTTCTTTCCCCAGGATCCCTTCATCCAGGTGCCCTGGGAGTTGCACATGCCCCACATCTCCTTCCCTGGGAGGGCCGAACCAGCTGCAGCATCCCACCACCCAACTTGCGTGTCGTTCTTTGCAAAAACATCACATCTGACATGACGGCGGCTGTGTCTGTAGGACTGTATGAGCGACAGGCCTTCCACCAATGTGAGCCTCCATCTGATGTGATGAGCAGAGCATGGATGGGCGCATGCCTGCATAGACCGACTCTCAATTAGGAGGCAGCCATGCCTACGTGATGCAACCACGTCCCGGCACACGAAGAAGAAGAAGCGTGCCGTGCGAAATCCCTCGTGCCCTAAAAAAACAGCTGAGCAGCGAAAGGTGCGAGAGGGATTCCCTCCTCCTCCTTCCTTTAATTGTAGTGACTTGAGAGCGCATTGCAGCTGACACAGATTTGTAGCTGTCTCCATAGTAACCGAATCCCGGGCTGCGTTGTGCATGAAGCACGTTCATTGTGAAGTTTCTAATTTCAGAAAAGCCCAATGGATTCTTCATCACTCTCTGGAGAGGGAGACTGGGGCTAAAGGGATCGCAGTTACCTGCCAACCTCCATCCAGCTTTGCCTCCTTTCACAGGCCTTGGAGTGATCCTCCAGCTACTGACCTTAAGAAAGGACTTCTTAAGGTGCATCTGCATTGTAGAAATAATGCAGTTTCATCCCATGAACTGCAATGTCTCCATCCTACAGAACCCTGATTCTTGTAGTTTGGTGAGACACCAGCTCTCTTTGGCCAGAGAAGGCCAAGACTTTGGAAAGCTACAGATCCCAGAGTTCCACAGCACTTAAAAGTGGTTTCAAACTGCATTATTTCTGCAGTGTAGAAATAATCTCCAGGTTCCAATGGGCCCTTGGTATCTGCTGGATGCCCAAATCCTATTAAATGCAATGGTGTAGAAAATTGGTGTCCCTTATATCAAATGCCAAAATCAAAGTTTCATTTTAGCAACTTGTATTTTTTAAAAATATTTTCAAGCTGTGGATCTTTGAATTTGTGGTTAAGGTATCTGTGGATACAAGGGCTGAGTGTACTTTTCTTTGACTTCCTTCCTTTAAAACAGTGGACTCGAGATCTAGCATCGTCCTTGCACGGTGCGCATGGTTACTTGCACATGGTTTTGCCATGTGGAGCTACCAAAATGAAAACTGGAGAGGGCTCCTGTCCCTTTAATGGTTGGGTAGAAGAAGGAATGGTTGGGTAGAAGAGGGAATTTGAGCAGGTGTTCCTTGTTACCTGGACAAGCAACACCTGTGATATTTCCTCTTCTACACAAGCATTAAGGGGATACAAACCATCTCCAGATTTCACTCTCGCAATCTTATCATGCTACCCATCTTTGGTGTACCGACATTGTGCAACTGACTCTGTATTTGCTGATGTGCTTCATTCGCCCATGGTGCAATAGGGAGTGCACGATTGCTCCTCCTGTGATCCTGGTGGTACAAGAGTTACACACCATTCAGTAACATGAAATTGCATGGCTGGAATCCTGTTGTCACAGCTAGAGTAGACCCATTCAATAATGTGTTGGGTAGTGAGTTATCCCATAAGCACTGTTGTTGTTGTCTTTCTGGCTTACGGTGACCCTAAGGCGATCCTATCAAGGGGTTTTCTTGGCAAGGGTTGTTCTGTTCCAGTGCTGTTCTGCTTCATAAAACCACAGAACCTTAGAATCCTAGTATTGGAAGGGTCCCCCTAAGGAGGAACAAGGCAAACCTATCATGGGGTTTTCTTGTCAGGTTTCTTCAGAGGGTTTTTTTACCTTTGCCTTCCCCTGAGGCTGAGAGAGTGTGATTTGCCCAAGATCACCCAGTGGGTTTCTAGGGCTGGGTGGGGATTTGAACCCTGCCTTCCCAGGATTCTAGCCCAGCAGTGAAACCACTATACCACACAGGTTCCACCTGGCTAAAGTAGAGCCATTAAATCAATTGGATTTACCTATGTGTTGACTCACTGTTCTACAATGGTTCAAAGCCTGAGACCTGGATGCCTTGTGGAGGGATTCAGTGCCTTGTTGTTGTGTGCTTTCAAGTCATTCCTGACCTGTGGCAACCTGAAGACGAACCTTTCACTGGGTTGTCTTGGCAAGAAGGAATTTGCATTTGCCTTCCTCTGAGGCTGAGAGAGGATGACTTGCTGAAGGTCTCCCAGTGAGCTTCCACAGGTGAGTGGGAATTCGAGCCCTGTTCTTCAGAGTCCTAGG